ACCAGTCGATAGAGGACAGTAGGCTTAACTATGCTTGTGGTAGCTTGTAGTTCTATCTAACGAGGATGAAGCAAGTTCCCTTGCTACAGGCGCATCCATAACAGTCTACGAACGTCTAGTGGGAATCCACTACACGCTAGAAGGGAAAGCAGTACGATGATGACTTTTATCCTACTGGATTTGGATGTCGTAAATTTGATTTCATCCTCGGTCTGCCAAGAAAACTTAGAAGGTACTAGCCATGGATCAGCTGTCAGCATCGATCCGTGAAGATTCCGTACCGTTTGTTCATCAGATGGCCATCTGATGAACGTCTTGGAGCTTTCACAAGCGTGTGGATGTACTACGAGTGAGGGCGATGACCTCACTTGTGGTACGGTCGTTAGTATGACTGCATAAGATCACAGTGTAGGAGGCCACTACACTGTGGAACCAGCTTCCGGCACCTGTGTAGAGACACAGGCTGCACCGAGGGTTCACCACTTGAAGAGGTCGAGTGGACTGAAACACGGATGCACACCATGAACACACACAGTGCATCCAAGAAGAGAATTTAATGTCGTTCAGGATGAACAACATGCTTAAGCGAGATCGATAAATAGAGTCGATCGTAGCGCAAACACGATCGAATGAAATAGAATCGATCGAAGAGGGCATGACTGTGGAGTGCACCCACAGTCAGTACACATATTGGAAGGAGGTTCCAGCGTTCCCGAGAGTGATAACTCCCGAAAGAGTTACGTCGAGGGTGTGGATTCCCAATCAACTGCAGATGTGTTTTCCCAGGAAATTACCGCGACAGTGAATGTCTTGGTGAATGACGGATCAAGTGTAGGCGCTTACACACTTGATCTGGTTACACCTCCGAATTCAGATTTGAAGGTAATCAAGTTGCCAACGCTAGAATCTAAAAGGTTCTTGCGAGATCTGCGTAGTGACAAGATCAAGCTGATCTGCGTATTCGTCACAGAGGACGAGTACGTCACCGATGTTAGGTCGGCACAAGTTCTTACTGAGAACGAACGGGTTTTCAGTAGCTCATCGATGGACGAGAGTGTCCTCGATGAGAATACCCGGATTGAGCGGTACACGTCTCAATCTTGGGAGTCTTTGAAGACAAATCCTTTGTATAAGAATGTGGTGGAATTCAGGGATGTTTTCCCTGAATGCGTGCCATGCGAGCTGCCTAAGGACAAAGGCACTCGGCATGAGATCGAACTAAAATTCGATTCGAAGTACTGTGTCATGAAGCAGTGGCTACTGCCTCGTGAACAGGTCACAGCGTTCGACAAATTCTTTGCCGATCGTTTAGCGGCTGGTCATGTGAGGGAATCAACATCCCCACACAGCTCTTTGAACTTCTGTGTTTGAAAAACCATAGGAGGGTGGCGGGTAGTGCACGCGTTCAACAAATTAAACGCTGCAACGGTACCGGCTCAAACGCCGATACCAAGGAAGGAAGTCATCATTGATGGTATGGCAAAAAACGCCATCTTTTCGTCCATGGATCTGATGTATGGATTCTATCAGATCCTCATGCGCGAACGAGATACCCCTTTACACATCAGTGAGCACCCCAGTGGTATGCTCTGGGAGGTGGCTAGTGATGCTACAGGAGCTATGTAACGCCTATGCAACGTTTATAAGATGTGTTACGAATCTGTTGCGATCGGTGCGAGATTTTGCACCGAGTTACATCGACGATGTTCCTCGTCCGTGGCCGGGCCATGGATGGAAAGACGGACGTGGAGGTTCATCGAATCCACGTCCGGGGAGGTTCTTACACTTATGCGAGAGCGTAAGTTGTTTGCGAGCCTCAAGAAGTGTATATTCGCAGCAAGCGAAATACCTCTTCTTGGCTGTATCGTCGGTAAACACGGTGTACGCTCTGATCCAGAAAAGATCAAGGCGATTAGTGACTGTCTTGTGCCAGTCAACTTCAAGGGACTTCGAAAGTTCATTGATACATTAGTGGCGTAAATTTTAAAGCACAAGAACTCGCGCAAGTACGCCGGAGATGACCGTACATCTCCTCTCGTCCGTTAAAGAAAACAGAGGGGGATCATGGAGTGCTGAGTGTCAGCACTCCTTCGAAAGTATCAAGAAATGCTTGGAGCAACCTTTGTGTTGGCGACTGCAGACCAGTAAAGACCATTCCATGTGGTCTGCAAACTGACGCCAGCCATTTTTGCAATCGGCTGCGCGTTAATGCAGTACGACTCGGTGAAAGCGTTGGGCGCGCCGTGTACGATATCAATCGCGTCAGCTGCAAGCAGCTAAGTGATATTACCCGGTGCATTACAAGGGAGCTCTTGCCATGAAAATTCACTGGCTTAGTTTTGGTATTTCTCTTAGGAGATAGACCATCATCAGTTTGTACCGACCATGCGTCATCACGCACGGCTGTAAACAGTTTACACCTCTCGCGACGAATGGTGAGGTGGTTGTCTATCTTCGCGGAGTACAACTTCTCCGTCGAGTATGTAAACCCAGGACGGGCTTAATGTCGTCGCGAAGTTGATATTCTTTTCTGCTTCGGCCAGATTTGAGCCTACCACTCTATTTAACAGTGAGGGTGGTCCCAATTGCTGCAACACTATCATTGGGGTTGGAGAGTGTTCCGGGTCGTCGAATCTCGCTCGACGATGTGCGAAAAGCATACGCAGAGGATGATTCTTTCCTGCGAATTATAGATTTCGCGTTCGCTTTACGCGGTCAAGCTTTAAAAAGTTTGACGTCTCAATACTTCTCTTCAACCGAACGGTATTCTGTTCGTGATGGAATGCTGTACTATGCAGTTGTCAAACGCGATTACACCTCGTGTCTTCGCTGTTCCCGCTCAAGATGATTTGCGATTGGTGCATCCTGTATGAGTGTGCGCTGAGCCCAACAAGCGGGGCATCGCGGTAGAGAAAAGACTGACCCTACAGTAAGTCGTGACTTCTACTGACCCCGCCAGTATGAGTTTGTGCGCAAATACATTCGCGCTCGCAATTTTTGCCAACGGTGAAGCCTAATGCTATGTCCCCAGGCACTCTTGCAGCCTCTGCCGATTCCAACAGAGTGCTGGCAGTCCGTATCGATAGACTTCCCCGTCTTTGTTTCCTTAGGACGTTCACAAGAATACCAGCATTCTTGTGTTCACTCGTTAATAGGTTCATCAAGATAATACATCTTTGTTACTGTAATGGAGTCAATCACGCCAGCCCAGGCTGTGCCCGTGTCTTCATCGACACTATCTTCCGACTTCAAGGGTTACTCCTGTGAACTATTGTCTGGACAGGAACCCCCGCTTTACAGCGGAGCTTCCTGGCAATCCGTGGCCCTTTCGATTGGAAAACGTTTGAAGATGTCAACTTCGGACCATTCAGAAACAGAGATGGTCAGACGTAACGCGCCAATTGCGTCCACGAAGAGATACTTAGAGGGTACGTCAACTCGTTCGCGAGTTGAATTTTTGTCGATGTCGGAATTTCGCCATCAAAAACTTGGTGCGAGCGTCGACAACGTAGACACCTTTTTCGTGAATAAGCTCTGGCGCCATATCCTCGATTACCCACCTTCTTAGAGTTAAAAATTTAGTTTAACGGGGTGAAAAAAAGGACTCGCTCGAGCATAACGAGATTTGTCTCTTTGCTCATAACACGTCAGGAATGGTGTCGACGTGATGGATGCCGATTTCGATGCGATCGACATCGATGATGATGAATAATGACGATGCTGGCATATATTCAGCACGCCGCCCATCGCTGCTGCCAGTGAGGACGGTGACGCCCTCACTGGTGAAGACAACGGCTTTTTTCAGCAGTGCACACGAAGAGCAATTGCCGTTAACAAGGATGAGTCATCAAAGGAATTTCTTGGGTTGACTCGCGAAGCGGTTGTCCGCTTCGTTCAAGACTCTATTGCAGATGCATTAGACAGACAGAAAAGAAACACAGACAAAAATGGGAAGAGCAAATGCTCCTTTCATTTGATGTAGGAAACCTTAGTTTACTGGGTTCACAGTAATTCTACCAAAACACGCAGTGACAAACGTGGGCAGCAGTAAAGTTACTGCCCAAGTATATTTGGTCCATTTCTTGTTGCGCCGTGCAGGCAACGCATTACACAATTGAAGTGCCCGTAAGATGCGTACGCATCCTGGGTCTTACTTTGACGTCTCCGCCCATGCTATCAGTACGAGCCTCCGTTTCGAGATGCGAAGAACACCTCCGTTCGATATCCGATACCACCTTCGAGTGGTTCCCTTCGTTTCAACGAGCCAGTCTGGTCGATCTTCAAGCGAAGTGACTCCGCTCACGCAGTTCAGCGATGTCCTGATGAGGTGCAGTTAGCTCTTCACTAAGAGAATGAATCAAACGTGGTTCCTTCTGGTTGCGCAAGCACAAACGCGCGGCACAATTGTTCGAACGATCGCGCGCTAGCAGGAATGGTAAGTGCATCTTTTACAAGATCATGGAGATCGTAACGCCGAATGCAGCTCCATGACCAGGTCGCTTTTGTAACTGTTCCGTTACAATGGATTAGTTTCTGAACATCAAGCTGATCCGAACCTCGAGCTGGATCAGTGCTCCGCCACCACCATTCGATTAGTGAATTCTGGCGGTGGTCACCGCTTTCTGCGGGAGCGTGCGCATCTTGAACCATCGCGACGTGAATGGCGTCCGGATGAGTTACTCGTCCTCTGACGTAACTATCCACCGTCCGGGGACAGCAGGGAGCCTCGCGCTCAGCTGATAGTTGATGTTCCGTCTCGTCGAGCAAAAAATGACGGGAATCACCCGGCTGCATTCTCCAGAGGAAGGACCGTCGTGTGTAAACGACCTCCCCGAACGCGAGTGTACAGGATTGCAAAGTGTCGATCCCTTCGGCCATCTCAGACGAGAACTGCACGCCATCCAGTAGGGAATACTAGGGAGGGAGGTCTCTCTTAAGACACGGTTCGAGTTGTCCACAGGCAACCTGGACACGAATCACCCCACGAGAGACAGGTTAAACTTCTTGCCTCTTCCCTGACAGTCGGTGCAATTTGTACAGTACACTGACTGGAGTTATTTCTCCGCAGATTTTATTTTCTTCTTGCTCGGCTTCCGTGTCGTCTCGTTCGTGAGCCCGTCTGGATGCACTGCAGCATGTCAGTCGGCGCGATGTCCAGCATGTGTGAGGTCTACCATCTCCATCCGCCACCGCAGCCTCCCCATCCACCGTAGCCACCCCATCCTCCGAAGCCACCCCAGGGACGTCCCCATCCCAAGCCTCCCCACCACTCCTTGGACACCTTGCCTTCCGCACCGATGACGGCGGTAGGCTCGTTTTCTGCAGCTACATCAGCAGCAGCCTCAACAGGATGCGAATGTCGCTCGGTAGGACCCGCTGCCATCGTGTCAGTGCTGGGTGTAGCTGGCTCCAATGCAGCAAGGGCTCGGAGCGCCGGCTGGTAGTCAGTAGCTGAGGCGACGCTTGCTACAGCAACTAGCGCGGTGACGGCGAGAGCAGTGCACTTCATGGTCGATTTGGTCGGTTGGTCGAGTACTTGCTCGCTAGGTGCTGGTGTGGTAGTGCCAGTTGGTTTTTGAGTGCAATCGATGTACGAGCTAGCGAGTGGGCTGGTGTTGCGACGAGTGACTCGTCACGTAGCGTCATGGTGACTGCTTCAATTGATTGAGTTGATTGATTGCAAATCGAGTAGATGGTTGAAAAGTCGGCGCGTCTCGATCGCGTTTCCAGTCACGAGCGTGGAATAGAACTTCGAGCGAGGTTTGAATTCCACTGTAGTTTTGTCGACATGATGGACGGTTGATGGTCGTCGAAGAAGGTCGCGGAGGGTGGTAGTCCGGTTCCGTCGCTCATGAATCGGTGGTACCTGCTAGAAGACAACCATAAGTAGAATGGTGAAGGTCCATAAGTAGAACGGTGGAGGCGTGTGTATCTCTGGCTGGTGATCAATGTTGGTGACCGACGTCGATGACTGCGTTGTGTCCGTCGACATCAACGTCGACGTGGTGACCAAACCAGGTGGCTGCTGAGTTGTGTGTGGACGTCGTCTATGTTTGGTGGCTTGACAATGAATGCAAGGAGGGCCCTTGCGATGACAGTATGTGCAAGTGGTACGAATACCAGTGCGTTTGTTTGAGATGGACATTGACACTTTTCGGCAATCGATGACACAGAAGGAGAAACTGGACGGAGCATGCTAATCGCGCTAAGAGAAAACGTGTCCGTCTGAACGAGTCGACATGTTCGTATCGATGTGAACATGCAGATACAAAGACATTGGTCGTGACAAGGTGATCTGATCTGAACGTGCTGCTGGAAGAACGTGTTGACCTTCGCGAGGTGGCTGGCTGACAACTGGCTGCAAAGCCTCAACAGTATATACATTGGCGAGCTCCAACTGCCCGACAGCACCGAAAGTACAGGTGGTCGATTCTTCCGTCGACAGGTTGACATGCTGATCCAAGTGATGACGAAAAGTAGCGACAAACAGCCTCACAAACAAGAGCGAGTCCGGCGGTGCACGCAGATTTTTCTTCTTGCTCGGCTTCCGTGTCGTCTCGTTCGTGAGCCCGTCTGCACGCGCTGCAACATGTCAGTCGGCGCGATGTCCAGCATGTGTGAGGTCTACCATCCGCCACCGTAGCCTCCCCATCCACCGTAGCCACCCCATCCTCCGAAGCCACCCCAGGGACGTCCCCATCCCAAGCCTCCCCACCACTCCTTGGACACCTTGCCTTCCGCACCGATGACGGCGGTAGGCTCGTTTTCCGCAGCTACATCAGCAGCAGCCTCAACAGGATGCGAATGTCGCTCGGTAGGACCCGCTGCCATCGTGTCAGTGCTGGGTGTAGCTGGCTCCAATGCAGCAAGGGCTCGGAGCGCCGGCTGGTAGTCAGTAGCTGAGGCGACGCTTGCTACAGCAACTAGCGCGGTGACGGCGAGAGCAGTGCACTTCATGGTCGATTTGGTCGGTTGGTCGAGTACTTGCTCGCTAGGTGCTGGTGTGGTAGTGCCAGTTGGTTTGTGAGTGCGATCGATGTACGAGCTAGCGAGTGGGCTGGTGTTGCGACGAGTGACTCGTCACGTAGCGTCATGGTGACTGCTTCAATTGATTGAGTTGATTGATTGCAAATCGAGTAGATGGTTGAAAAGTCGGCGCGTCTCGATCGCGTTTCCAGTCACGAGCGTGGAATAGAACTTCGAGCGAGGTTTGAATTCCACTGTAGTTTTGTCGACATGATGGACGGTTGATGGTCGTCGAAGAAGGTCGCGGAGGGTGGTAGTCCGGTTCCGTCGCTCATGAATCGGTGGTACCTGCTAGAAGACAACCATAAGTAGAATGGTGAAGGTCCATAAGTAGAACGGTGGAGGCGTGTGTATCTCTGGCTGGTGATCAATGTTGGTGACCGACGTCGATGACTGCGTTGTGTCCGTCGACATCAACGTCGACGTGGTGACCAAACCAGGTGGCTGCTGAGTTGTGTGTGGACGTCGTCTATGTTTGGTGGCTTGACAATGAATGCAAGGAGGGCCCTTGCGATGACAGTTTGTGCAAGTGGTACGAATACCAGTGCGTTTGTTTGAGATGGACATTGACACTTTTCGGCAATCGATGACACAGAAGGAGAAACTGGACGGAGCATGCTAATCGCGCTAAGAGAAACCGTGTCCGTCTGAACGAGTTGACATGTTCGTATCGATGTGAACATGCAGATACAAAGACATTGGTCATGACAAGGTGATCTGATCTGAACGTGCTGCTGGAAGAACGTGTTGACCTTCGCGAGGTGGCTGGCTGACAACTGACTGCAAAGCCTCAACAGTATATACATTGGCGAGCTCCAACTGCCCGACAGCACCGAAAGTACAGGTGGTCGATCCTCCCGTCGACAAGTTGACATGCTGAGCCAAGTGATGACGAAAAGTAGCGACAAACAGCCTCACAAACAAGAGCGAGTCCGGCGGTGCACGCAGATTTTTCTTCTTGCTCGGCTTCCGTGTCGTCTCGTTCGTGAGCCCGTCTGCACGCGCTGCAACATGTCAGTCGGCGCGATGTCCAGCATGTGTGAGGTCTACCATCCCCATCCGCCACCGTAGCCTCCCCATCCACCGTAGCCACCCCATCCCCCGAAACCACCCCAGGGACGTCCCCATCCCAAGCCTCCCCACCACTCCTTGGACACCTTGCCTTCCGCACCGATAACGGCAGTAGGCTCGTTTTCTGCAGCTACATCAGCAGCAGCCTCAACAGGATGCGAATGTCGCTCGGTAGGACCCGCTGCCATCGTGTCAGTGCTGGGTGTAGCTGGTTCCGATGCAGCAAGGGCTCGGAGCGCCGGCTGGTAGTCAGTAGCTGAGGCGACGCTTGCTACAGCAACTAGCGCGGTGACGGCGAGAGCAGTGCACTTCATGGTCGATTTGGTCGGTTGGTCGAGTAGTTGCTCGCTAGGTGCTGGTGTGGTAGTGCCAGTTGGTTTGTGAGTGCGATCGATGTACGAGCTAGCGAGTGGGCTGGTGTTGCGACGAGTGACTCGTCACGTAGCGTCATGGTGACTGCTTCAATTGATTGAGTTGATTGATTGCAAATCGAGTAGATGGTTGAAAAGTCGGCGCGTCTCGATCGCGTTTCCAGTCACGAGCGTGGAATAGAACTTCGAGCGAAGTTTGAATTCCACAATTGGTTTGTCGACATGATGGACGGTTGATGGTCGTCGAAGAAGGTCGCGGAGGGTGGTAGTCCGGTTCCGTCGCTCATGAATCGGTGGTACCTGCTAGAAACAACCATAAGTAGAATGGTGAAGGTCCATAAGTAGAACGGTGGAGGCGTGTGTATCTCTGGCTGGTGATCAATGTTGGTGACCGACGTCGATGACTGCGTTGTGTCCGTCGACATCAACGTCGACGTGGTGACCAAACCAGGTGGCTGCTGAGTTGTGTGCGGACGTCGTCTATGTTTGGTGGCTTGACAATGAATGCAAGGAGGGCCTTTGCGATGACAGTATGTGCAAGTGGTACGAATACCAGTGCGTTTGTTTGAGATGGACATTGACACTTTTCGGCAATCGATGACACAGAAGGAGAAACTGGACGGAGCATGCTAATCGCGCTAAGAGAAACCGTGTCCGTCTGAACGAGTCGACATGTTCGTGTCGATGTGAACATGCAGATACAAAGACATTGGTCGTGACAAGATGATCTGATCTGAACGTGCTGCTGGAAGAACGTGTTGACCTTCGCGAGGTGGCTGGCTGACAACTGGCTGCAAAGCCTCAACAGTATATACATTGGCGAGCTCCAACTGCCCGACAGCACCGAAAGTACAGATGGTCGATCCTTCCGTCGACAGGTTGACATGCTGAGCCAAGTGATGACGAAAAGTAGCGACAAACAGCCTCACAAACAAGAGCGAGTCCGGCGGTGCACGCAGATTTTTCTTCTTGCTCGGCTTCCGTGTCGTCTCGTTCGTGAGCCCGTCTGCACGCGCTGCAGCATGTCAGTCGGCGCGATGTCCAGCGTGTGTGAGGTCTACCATCCCCATCCGCCACCGTAGCCTCCCCATCCACCGTAGCCACCCCATCCCCCGAAGCCACCCCAGGGACGTCCCCATCCCAAGCCTCCCCACCACTCCTTGGACACCTTGCCTTCCGCACCGATAACGGCAGTAGGCTCGTTTCCGCAGCTACATCAGCAGCAGCCTCAACAGGATGCGAATGTCGCTCGGTAGGACCCGCTGCCATCGTGTCAGTGCTGGGTGTAGCTGGTTCCAATGCAGCAAGGGCTCGGAGCGCCGGCTGGTAGTCAGTAGCTGAGGCGACGCTTGCTACAGCAACTAGCGCGGTGACGGCGAGAGCAGTGCACTTCATGGTCGATTTGGTCGGTTGGTCGAGTAGTTGCTCGCTAGGTGCTGGTGTGGTAGTGCCAGTTGGTTTTTGAGTGCGATCGATGTACGAGCTAGCGAGTGGGCTGGTGTTGCGACGAGTGACTCGTCACGTAGCGTCATGGTGACTGCTTCAATTGATTGAGTTGATTGATTGCAAATCGAGTAGATGGTTGAAAAGTCGGCGCGTCTCGATCGCGTTTCCAGTCACGAGCATGGAATAGAACCTCGAGCGAGGTTTGAATTCCACTGTAGTTTTGTCGACATGATGGACGGTTGATGGTCGTCGAAGAAGGTCGCGGAGGGTGGTAGTCCGGTTCCGTCGCTCATGAATCGGTGGTACCTGCTAGAAGACAACCATAAGTAGAATGGTGAAGGTCCATAAGTAGAACGGTGGAGGCGTGTGTATCTCTGGCTGGTGATCAATGTTGGTGACCGACGTCGATGACTGCGTTGTGTCCGTCGACATCAACGTCGACGTGGTGACCAAACCAGGTGGCTGCTGAGTTGTGTGTGGACGTCGTCTATGTTTGGTGGCTTGACAATGAATGCAAGGAGGGCCCTTGCGATGACAGTATGTGCAAGTGGTACGAATACCAGTGCGTTTGTTTGAGATGGACATTGACACTTTTCGGCAATCGATGACACAGAAGGAGAAACTGGACGGAGCATGCTAATCGCGCTAAGAGAAAACGTGTCCGTCTGAACGAGTCGACATGTTCGTGTCGATGTGAACATGCAGATACAAAGACATTGGTCGTGACAAGATGATCTGATCTGAACGTGCTGCTGGAAGAACGTGTTGACCTTCGCGAGGTGGCTGGCTGACAACTGGCTGCAAAGCCTCGATAGTATATATGTTGGCGAGCTCCAACTGCCCGACAGCACCGAAAGTACAGGTGGTCGATTCTTCCGTCGACAGGTTGACATGCTGATTCTAGTGGTGACGAAAGTAGCGACAAACAGCCTCACAAACAAGAGCGAGTCCGGTGGTGCACGCGGATTTTTCTTCTTGCTCGGCTTCCGTGTCGTCTCGTTCGTGAGCCCGTCTGCATGCGCTGCAACATGTCAGTCGGCGCGATGTCCAGCATGTGTGAGGTCTACCATCCGCCACCGTAGCCTCCCCATCCACCGTAGCCACCCCATCCTCCGAAGCCACCCCAGGGACGTCCCCATCCCAAGCCTCCCCACCACTCCTTGGACACCTTGCCTTCCGCACCGATAACGGCAGTAGGCTCGTTTTCCGCAGCTACATCAGCAGCAGCCTCAACAGGATGCGAATGTCGCTCGGTAGGACCCGCTGCCATCGTGTCAGTGCTGGGTGTAGCTGGTTCCAATGCAGCAAGGGCTCGGAGCGCCGGCTGGTAGTCAGTAGCTGAGGCGACGCTTGCTACAGCAACTAGCGCGGTGACGGCGAGAGCAGTGCACTTCATGGTCGATTTGGTCGGTTGGTCGAGTAGTTGCTCGCTAGGTGCTGGTGTGGTAGTGCCAGTTGGTTTTTGAGTGCGATCGATGTACGAGCTAGCGAGTGGGCTGGTGTTGCGACGAGTGACTCGTCACGTAGCGTCATGGTGACTGCTTCAATTGATTGAGTTGATTGATTGCAAATCGAGTAGATGGTTGAAAAGTCGGCGCGTCTCGATCGCGTTTCCAGTCACGAGCGTGGAATAGAACTTCGAGCGAAGTTTGAATTCCACTGTAGTTTTGTCGACATGATGGACGGTTGATGGTCGTCGAAGAAGGTCGCGGAGAGTAGTAGTCCGGTTCCGTCGCTCATGAATCGGTGGTACCTGCTAGAAGACAACCATAAGTAGAATGGTGAAGGTCCATAAGTAGAACGGTGGAGGCGTGTGTATCTCTGGCTGGTGATCAATGTTGGTGACCGACGTCGATGACTGCGTTGTGTCCGTCGACATCAACGTCGACGTGGTGACCAAACCAGGTGGCTGCTGAGTTGTGTGTGGACGTCGTCTATGTTTGGTGGCTTGACAATGAATGCAAGGAGGGCCCTGGGGCCGTCACTATCTGCCATGGATACAAGATCGAATAAAGCGTGTGAAGCTTATGCACCATTTGCCGCCGCTGGTCACGCCGAACACTCACACTTCTCGGTTCTTGCACTCGCTAGTTCTTGTAGAAATTGCCAGAATTTTTCTTCATCAGCTCAATATCATACGCATCCCGGGCACTTTTGTCGGAAAGCACGCTGTACGCTGCTGTCATGTCCTTAAACAAATCAGCATGTGACATCACCTTTGACTTATCTGCAGGTACAAACGATTAGAAAGTGAACTTACATATTAATTGAAAACAGCATGGTTCTTGTCAATTGAAATGCTTACCTGGATGATACACGCGCGCCAGTTTGTGGTACGACCTCTTGACTTGGTCGCTCGTCGCTGTCTTGTCAATACCAAGCACTTCGTAATGCGTACGGCATTCGGTCTTCAACGCCAAAAATGAAGCTCGACTACTTGCACCTGACGACTGGAATCCGCCCCGCCAGTTCCCATGATCAAAACTGTGACGGTGTATTCTTGATCTTGCAACTCGAGGAGAAAATGAAGTTGGAGGTGCCGTAAAATTGCTTCTGACGTTACTCGGATGAAGCTTAAAGTCATCAACAGGACTTTTTGACCCTTGACATGCTTCTGACTCTTTCTTCGATGCTCCACTGTTGGAAGTGGAACCCGCCGACTTGGTTGCGTGGAAAAATTTTCCGTTCTTTTTCCAGTAATTGCAACTGGATTGCGATTCTTGTACGCTTGTCCAAACAAAAAGTACTGCTAGTCTGGGTACGATTTCGGTACTGCTGTTCAAATTGCACTTCTCCGTCATCCACTTTCTGCTGCTTGACATCGTCACACTTCTCATCCATTTTATTTGCAAATCGTTTTACCTCCAACACATCACATAATCCAGCTGACGCTTTCTTCTCAAACGGGATCTTGGTCGCACGATCAATCTTCCGTTTCTTCATGTCCACACTTGAACTTGACGACAACAAGCCCGCCATCTCGATATCTCGTTTCTTTGGCAAGACCTTCAGTCCTCGCGCTTCCTCGTGCTGCGTCTCATGATTCTTCATCTTGTCTTTTTTGCCCTTTGTACTCGCCAATCGAGCCTGTGCGTCAGACAGCACCTCCTTCTTGTCTTCGTCAACGTCCACGGGGTCCGACCACGCTAGTCTTCCCTCTTGACTGGGGTCAATTTCACCCGGACGCAGCCGTCTCGGATCATCGCTCACGACCACGCTGTTCTTCTTCTGCGCTGCGTCCAGTAGTCGCTCATAGTGGTATAGACACTGCGCTGCTGTGCGCCCCACAATATCCGCAATCGCTTGCCACTGCAAGGGCATGAGCTTGGCGTGATGCAGAAGCTTTTCTTCCTCTTCGCGACTCCACTCAGCCAGGTTGATGGTCGGATGGAGCCACTCGTACCACCGCGCTATACACTGCTTGATCGACTTGCGCGGGAGCAGAGATGCCACGCGCGCCCACTTGCTCGTACCGTACCTCTCCACAGCCTTTTTGAGGGTCTCATCCTCGTTTTTTTTCACCCGCCGCCCTTGATCAACGTCCGCATCGACACCATAAGTCTTGTAAACAGAGACAAAGAGAGAGAGAGAGATAGAGAGAGAGAGTGGAGTACAGCGTCTATTTGTCCAAACTTAAATAGCGTTGACCACAAACTAGACGTTCGCAGTAGTTTATATGTGAAGTTGGCATATAGTTGGTGTGCACTTGGCGTAGAGGATCTTTTGACCTGAAGTTTGTCACAGCAGAGTGCGGCCGGACGCTACAGCTACAGCTGGAGCTCGTGGAGCGCACTAGACGCACGGTCAAGGAGCTACGGTAAAGGCGAAGGGCGTGCATGCATATCAGGCGGAATTTCTGGCCGCGCATGCTGCGAGTCTTGGGGATCTTGCTGCGCGAATGACGTGTGTACCTTTAGCAAAGTGCTTCAAAGACCTGCACAAGTGGGGCCAGTCGCTGGTGTGTGAGAGACGCGACGTGATGATGGTCAGGCTGAAGCAGGGATACGGGCGGTCGCGATGTAGGTCCATGACCTGGCGGTTACTCCCATAAAGGTACACAGACGGGAGAGAAGACGGAAACTGGCGGGCTCATCTAAAGATTATTCAATAAACATGACGTTGCGGTGGGTTGCTTTGCTGGGCAGAATCTGTCGGGAGAACTAGTTAAGTCTGTAAAGATTGAGATAAAGCAGCAGACCGAGTTTGAAGAGGCAAAGGTACGTGTCGGCGAGTTGGAAGTCATCTCTATAAAGAAGATCCGTGAGTAAATTCTATTGACCGATCTGTTTGTCTGCTTATTTGCCTGATTGTTTCTGTGTACTGCAAAGATGGAGTGCTGCCAAGGAGAAAGAAAAAAAGCTCCGGATGCTGTCAATCAAAATCCTCGCGTTGAGAACGTCAATGCGTCGCTGGATATCCACATGGACCGAACTTCGAACGGTACATGATCGAGAAAATGAAGGCGCAGTTCGACGGTAGTGGAGTTTGGCGGGGTAGATTGACGAGAATGTGGACTCATGGGCTTTGTTTGCTGTAGAAAATTGTCGCTGAGTTGGCGCGCTCTCAGGCGTTTTACCATGCAAAACGCATGGAACTCTTTTCCGTGCCATGTCAATCTATTGCAAAGCTTTACACTGCCAATGTAGGACATCTGAAAGGGGCAGCGCAAGTGAGTCGTAGCAGAAGCATAGAACGCTAGTCAATAAACCGTTCATAAATGATTTATTATGTTGAGCTTGAAGCTTTGTAAGCGTGTTTTGTATCCCATAATGCAGCGGTAGAGCGTCGTCGTTCTCGCTCTTTTTTCCTGCGCTCGCTGTAACGGGGCACCCTGAAGCTTGTGCTGGTGACAGTACAAGCTACTTGTTCTGACGACAGAATAAGGCGGTGCCTCGGAACTTCACGTACACTCGTACGTGCAGAGGAAGACGGTAAGAAGAAGCGAGTACCTGGTTTAAGTAGAACTTTATTTATAATAGTTAATGTCTGTTAATAAACCACTGTTTGTCCTCATCTAACTATGACTAAATACAAATGTGCATATCAACTATCTGCTCACCACTCATTGCGTGCGTCTGTCGTGGCGCATCTTCGTTGGTTGATATAATGGCCTATATCAACCAATTAGGAACTACTCGTAAGTGCTGCAGAATATTTGTCCTTATGACTATATTCTGAGAATATAACTCTTAAAGATATATTCTATTAACGATTCTAATAAATTGTTATGTAACGATTCACCCCGTTACATGGTGTCTCCTGTACTGGTTCGTAGGGCATGTGTACTCATCACATCGATTGATAACTGTGCCAGCCCCACAAGCTACTGGAGCGTCAACATGAGGCAGAAAAGCTGTGGACTCTGCTCCCAGCAGGACATGCGAGTCCACCAGCGTCCAGTAGTTCTGACGTTGCGATAAGTACGTGAGTGGCAACGTCAGGTAAAAGAATACTTGGGCTGCGACTTGAGCTGCTGGCTTGGGCTGCGACTTGGGCTGCTGGCTTGGGCAGAAGACGCCGTTGGAACGCAGCATAGAGCACGAGAGGTACGAGTGCCCAGATCTGCCAGATAGTGATGGTTTTCAAATCAAGTCGTTTATTGCCAGCCAACGACGACGACGACGACTTGAGGGGATTTTGTAGGTGTAGTCAAAACGATGTGCGACTCAAAGTGGACAAGATCCCCACCCAGGGGTGGCTACACTCGGCACACTCTCCGTCTGTTTCTGCCGTAGCTCCTGGTACCGTCGACACTCAATGCGGTACAGCAGGAGCTCACGGCTCGGTCAAAGTACGACTGCACGCCTTCCATGACGCCCGTCACGTCCTTGAACTCCCTTTCGTTGCCCCGCCTCTCCAGCATTCACCTTGCTCTGCTTCACGTCCAAGTGCGTCTTGATTATCGAAGATCCCCATCCATTCACCACCATACAACAACAAAGACAAGCACAACCTCGTCAATCCCCACCACCACGAACCCTCTTTCTCTCTCTTGCTCCCTCCTCTCGCTCTCTCTCCCCACCTGTTGCATGTTGGGTTTCCTCGGCAACGGCACAAGTTGATGCAGAGCTTACGTGGCGGCTTACTTTCTACTATATCCTCTAGCTCGCTTGTGCCTCACTTGCGCTGCCCCTTTCAGATGTCCTACATTGGCAGTGTAGAGCTTTGCAATAGATTGACATGGTACGGCAAAGAGTTCCATGCCTTTGGCATGGTAAAACGCCTGCGAGCGCGCCAGCTCAGCGACAATTTTCTATAGCAAACAAAGCCCATGAGTCCACATTCTCGTCAATCTACCCCGCCAAACTCCACTACCGTCGAACTGCGCCTTCATTTTTCTCGATCATGTACCGTTCGAAGTTCGGTCCATGTGGATATCCAGCAACGCATTGACGTTCTCAACGCGAGGTTTCTGATTGACAGCATCCGGATCTTTTTTCTTTCTCCTTGGCAGCACTCCATCTTTGCAGTACACAGAAACAATCAGGCAAATAAGCAGACGAACAGATCGGTCAATAGAATTCACTCACGGATCTTCTTTATAGAGATGACTTCCAACTCGCCGACACGTACCTTCATCCTGCTTGTCACCTTCATTCAACGACCAAACCTTGTGGTAGAACGCACGGACATCTGGATGCAAGTAAAGCAACTTTGCGCACGTGGCGTTTTCCCATTCAGATACTCCTGTGTCGCTCAAGGATCCATTTCACGAGCAGCCACGAGCCAACACAAGGTCACCGCCACACTGCGTCCCGTGCCTCCTTTGCAGTGAACGTACGTCCTGACTCCCGTTGTTTCTGCATCTGGATAAACGCAACGGCTGCTGTTAATGCCTCAAGTGACGGATATAAGTGGTCAACTGTCGGCAGTTGAAGCTGCTGGATGTGGTGTCTCTTGTACTGGTTCGTAGGGCATGCGTACTCATCACATCGATTGACAACTGCACCAACCCCACAAGCTACTGGAGCGTCAACATGAGGCACAAAAGCTGTGGACGCTGCTCCCAGCAGGACATGCGAGTCCACCGGCGTCCAGTAGTTCTGACGTTGCGATAAGTACGTGAGTGGCAACGTCAGGTAAAAGAATACTTGGGCTGCGACTTGAGCTGCTGGCTTGGGCTGCGACTTGGGCTGCTGGCTTGGGCAACAGATGCAGTTGGAACGCAGCATAGAGCACGAGAGGTACGAGTGCCCAGATCTGCCAGATAGTGATGGTTTTCAAATCAAGTCGTTTATTGCCAGCCAACGACGACGACGACGACTTGAGGGGATTTTGTAGGTGTAGTCAAAACGATGTGCGACTCAAAGTGGACAAGATCCCCACCCAGGGGTGGCTACACTCGGCACACTCTCCGTCTGTTTCTGACGTAGCTCCTGGTACCGTCGACACTCAATGCGGTACAGCAGGAGCTCACGGCTCGGTCAAAGTACGACTGCACGCCTTCCATGACGCCCGTCACGTCCTTGAACTCCCTTTCGTTGCCCCGCCTCTCCAGCATGCACCTTGCTCTGCTTCACGTCCAAGTGCGTCTTGATTATCGAAGATCCCCTTCCATTCACCACCATACAACAACAAAGACAAGCACAACCTCGTCAATCCCCACCACCACGAACCCTCTTTCTCTCTCTTGCTCCCTCCTCTCGCTCTCTCTCCCCACCTGTTGCATGTTGGGTTTCCTCGGCAACGGCACAAGTTGATGCAGAGCTTACGTGGCGGCTTACTTTCTACTATATCCTCTAGCTCGCTTGTGCCTCACTTGCGCTGCCCCTTTCAGATGTCCTACATTGGCAGTGTAGAGCTTTGCAATAGATTGACATGGTACGGCAAAGAGTTCCATGCCTTTGGCATGGTAAAACGCCTGCGAGCGCGCCAGCTCAGCGACAATTTTCTATAGCAAACAAAGCCCATGAGTCCACATTCTCGTCAATCTACCCCGCCAAACTCCACTACCGTCGAACTGCGCCTTCATTTTCTCGATCATGTACCGTTCGAAGTTCGGTCCATGTGGATATCCAGCAACGCATTGACGTTCTCAACGCGAGGTTTCTGATTGACAGCATCCGGATCTTTTTTCTTTCTCCTTGGCAGCACTCCATCTTTGCAGTACACAGAAACAATCAGGCAAATAAGCAGACGAACAGATCGGTCAATAGAATTCACTCACGGATCTTCTTTATAGAGATGACTTCCAACTCGCCGACACGTACCTTCATCCTGCTTGTCACCTTCATTCAACGACCAAACCTTGTGGTAGAACGCACGGACATCTGGATGCAAGTAAAGCAACTTTGCGCACGTGGCGTTTTCCCATTCAGATACTCCTGTGTCGCTCAAGGATCCATTTCACGAGCAGCCACGAGCCAACACAAGGTCACCGCCACACTGCGTCCCGTGCCTCCTTTGCAGTGAACGTACGTCCTGACTCCCGTTGTTTCTGCATCTGGATAAACGCAACGGCTGCTGTTAATGCCTCAAGTGACGGATATAAGTGGTCAACTGTCGGCAGTTGAAGCTGCTGGATGTGGTGTCTCTTGTACTGGTTCGTAGGGCATGCGTACTCATCACATCGATTGACAACTGCACCAACCCCACAAGCTACTGGAGCGTCAACATGAGGCACAAAAGCTGTGGACGCTGCTCCCAGCAGGACATGCGAGTCCACCGGCGTCCAGTAGTTCTGACGTTGCGATAAGTACGTGAGTGGCAACGTCAGGTAAAAGAATACTTGGGCTGCGACTTGAGCTGCTGGCTTGGGCTGCGACTTGGGCTGCTGGCTTGGGCAACAGATGCAGTTGGAACGCAGCATAGAGCACGAGAGGTACGAGTGCCCAGATCTGCCAGATAGTGATGGTTTTCAAATCAAGTCGTTTATTGCCAGCCAACGACGACGACGACGACTTGAGGGGATTTTGTAGGTGTAGTCAAAACGATGTGCGACTCAAAGTGGACAAGATCCCCACCCAGGGGTGGCTACACTCGGCACACTCTCCGTCTGTTTCTGACGTAGCTCCTGGTACCGTCGACACTCAATGCGGTACAGCAGGAGCTCACGGCTCGGTCAAAGTACGACTGCACGCCTTCCATGACGCCCGTCACGTCCTTGAACTCCCTTTCGTTGCCCCGCCTCTCCAGCATGCACCTTGCTCTGCTTCACGTCCAAGTGCGTCTTGATTATCGAAGATCCCCTTCCATTCACCACCATACAACAACAAAGACAAGCACAACCTCGTCAATCCCCACCACCACGAACCCTCTTTCTCTCTCTTGCTCCCTCCTCTCGCTCTCTCTCCCCACCTGTTGCATGTTGGGTTTCCTCGGCAACGGCACAAGTTGATGCAGAGCTTACGTGGCGGCTTACTTTCTACTATATCCTCTAGCTCGCTTGTGCCTCACTTGCGCTGCCCCTTTCAGATGTCCTACATTGGCAGTGTAGAGCTTTGCAATAGATTGACATGGTACGGCAAAGAGTTCCATGCCTTTGGCATGGTAAAACGCCTGCGAGCGCGCCAGCTCAGCGACAATTTTCTATAGCAAACAAAGCCCATGAGTCCACATTCTCGTCAATCTACCCCGCCAAACTCCACTACCGTCGAACTGCGCCTTCATTTTCTCGATCATGTACCGTTCGAAGTTCGGTCCATGTGGATATCCAGCAACGCATTGACGTTCTCAACGCGAGGTTTCTGATTGACAGCATCCGGATCTTTTTTCTTTCTCCTTGGCAGCACTCCATCTTTGCAGTACACAGAAACAATCAGGCAAATAAGCAGACGAACAGATCGGTCAATAGAATTCACTCACGGATCTTCTTTATAGAGATGACTTCCAACTCGCCGACACGTACCTTCATCCTGCTTGTCACCTTCATTCAACGACCAAACCTTGTGGTAGAACGCACGGACATCTGGATGCAAGTAAAGCAACTTTGCGCACGTGGCGTTTCCCATTCAGATACTCCTGTGTCGCTCAAGGATCCATTTCACGAGCAGCCACGAGCCAACACAAGGTCACCGCCACACTGCGTCCCGTGCCTCCTTTGCAGTGAACGTACGTCCTGACTCCCGTTGTTTCTGCATCTGGATAAACGCAACGGCTGCTGTTAATGCCTCAAGTGACGGCCAAAAGTGGTCAACTGTCGGCAGTTGAAGCTGCTGGATGTGGTGTCTCTTGTACTGGTTCGTAGGGCATGCGTACTCATCACATCGATTGACAACTGCACCAACCCCACAAGCTACTGGAGCGTCAACATGAGGCACAAAAGCTGTGGACGCTGCTCCCAGCAGGACATGCGAGTCCACCGGCGTCCAGTAGTTCTGACGTTGCGATAAGTACGTGAGTGGCAACGTCAGGTAAAAGAATACTTGGGCTGCGACTTGAGCTGCTGGCTTGGGCTGCGACTTGGGCTGCTGGCTTGGGCAACAGATGCAGTTGGAACGCAGCATAGAGCACGAGAGGTACGAGTGCCCAGATCTGCCAGATAGTGATGGTTTTCAAATCAAGTCGTTTATTGCCAGCCAACGACGACGACGACGACTTGAGGGGATTTTGTAGGTGTAGTCAAAACGATGTGCGACTCAAAGTGGACAAGATCCCCACCCAGGGGTGGCTACACTCGGCACACTCTCCGTCTGTTTCTGACGTAGCTCCTGGTACCGTCGACACTCAATGCGGTACAGCAGGAGCTCACGGCTCGGTCAAAGTACGACTGCACGCCTTCCATGACGCCCGTCACGTCCTTGAACTCCCTTTCGTTGCCCCGCCTCTCCAGCATGCACCTTGCTCTGCTTCACGTCCAAGTGCGTCTTGATTATCGAAGATCCCCATCCATTCACCACCATACAACAACAAAGACAAGCACAACCTCGTCAATCCCCACCACCACGAACCCTCTTTCTCTCTCTTGCTCCCTCCTCTCGCTTCCTCTCCCCACCTGTTGCATGTTGGGTTTCCTCGGCAACGGCACAAGTTGATGCAGAGCTTACGTGGCGGCTTACTTTCTACTATATCCTCTAGCTCGCTTGTGCCTCACTTGCGCTGCCCCTTTCAGATGTCCTACATTGGCAGTGTAAAGCTTTGCAATAGATTGAGATGGTACGGCAAAGAGTTCCAGGCCTTTTGCATGGTAAAACGCCTGCGAGCGCGCCAACTCAGCGACAATTTTCTACAGCAAACAAAGCCCATGAGTCCACATTCTCGTCAATCTACCCCGCCAAACTTCACTACCGTCGAACTGCGCCTTCATTTTCCCGATCATGTACCGTTCGAAGTTCGGTCCATGTGGATATCCAGCAACGCATTGACGTTCTCAACGCGAGGTTTCTGATTGACAGCATCCGGATCTTTTTTCTTTCTCCTTGGCAGCACTCCATCTTTGCAGTACACAGAAACAATCAGGCAAATAAGCAGACGAACAGATCGGTCAATAGAATTCACTCACGGATCTTCTTTATAGAGATGACTTCCAACTCGCCGACACGTACCTTCATCCTGCTTGTCACCTTCATTCAACGACCAAACCTTGTGGTAGAACGCACGGACATCTGGATGCAAGTAAAGCAACTTTGCGCACGTGGCGTTTTCCCATTCAGATACTCCTGTGTCGCTCAAGGATCCATTTCACGAGCAGCCACGAGCCAACACAAGGTCACCGCCACACTGCGTCCCGTGCCTCCTTTGCAGTGAACGTACGTCCTGACTCCCGTTGTTTCTGCATCTGGATAAACGCAACGGCTGCTGTTAATGCCTCAAGTGACGGCCAAAAGTGGTCAACTGTCGGCAGTTGAAGCTGCTGGATGTGGTGTCTCTTGTACTGGTTCGTAGGGCATGCGTACTCATCACATCGATTGACAACTGCACCAACCCCACAAGCTACTGGAGCGTCAACATGAGGCACAAAAGCTGTGGACGCTGCTCCCAGCAGGACATGCGAGTCCACCGGCGTCCAGTAGTTCTGACGTTGCGATAAGTACGTGAGTGGCAACGTCAGGTAAAAGAATACTTGGGCTGCGACTTGAGCTGCTGGCTTGGGCTGCGACTTGGGCTGCTGGCTTGGGCAACAGATGCAGTTGGAACGCAGCATAGAGCACGAGAGGTACGAGTGCCCAGATCTGCCAGATAGTGATGGTTTTCAAATCAAGTCGTTTATTGCCAGCCAACGACGACGACGACGACTTGAGGGGATTTTGTAGGTGTAGTCAAAACGATGTGCGACTCAAAGTGGACAAGATCCCCACCCAGGGGTGGCTACACTCGGCACACTCTCCGTCTGTTTCTGACGTAGCTCCTGGTACCGTCGACACTCAATGCGGTACAGCAGGAGCTCACGGCTCGGTCAAAGTACGACTGCACGCCTTCCATGACGCCCGTCACGTCCTTGAACTCCCTTTCGTTGCCCCGCCTCTCCAGCATGCACATTGCTCTGCTTCACGTCCAAGTACGTCTTGATTATCGAAGATCCCCATCCATTCACCACCGTACAACAACACAGACAAGCACAACCTCGTCAATCCCCACCACCACGAACCCTCTTTCTCTCTCTTGCTCCCTCCTCTCGCTTCCTCTCCCCACCTGTTGCATGTTGGGTTTCCTCGGCAACGGCACAAGTTGATGCAGAGCTTACGTGGCGGCTTACTTTCTACTATATCCTCTAGCTCGCTTGTGCCTCACTTGCGCTGCCCCTTTCAGATGTCCTACATTGGCAGTGTAAAGCTTTGCAATAGATTGAGATGGTACGGCAAAGAGTTCCAGGCCTTTTGCATGGTAAAACGCCTGCGAGCGCGCCAACTCAGCGACAATTTTCTACAGCAAACAAAGCCCATGAGTCCACATTCTCGTCAATCTACCCCTCCAAACTTCACTACCGTCGAACTGCGCCTTCATTTTCCCGATCATGTACCGTTCGAAGTTCGGTCCATGTGGATATCCAGCAACGCATTGACGTTCTCAACGCGAGGTTTCTGATTGACAGCATCCGGATCTTTTTTCTTTCTCCTTGGCAGCACTCCATCTTTGCAGTACACAGAAACAATCAGGCAAATAAGCAGACGAACAGATCGGTCAATAGAATTCACTCACGGATCTTCTTTATAGAGATGACTTCCAACTCGCCGACACGTACCTTCATCCTGCTTGTCACCTTCATTCAACGACCAAACCTTGTGGTAGAACGCACGGACATCTGGATGCAAGTAAAGCAACTTTGCGCACGTGGCGTTTTCCCATTCAGATACTCCTGTGTCGCTCAAGGATCCATTTCACGAGCAGCCACGAGCCAACACAAGGTCACCGCCACACTGCGTCCCGTGCCTCCTTTGCAGTGAACGTACGTCCTGACTCCCGTTGTTTCTGCATCTGGATAAACGCAACGGCTGCTGTTAATGCCTCAAGTGACGGCCAAAAGTGGTCAACTGTCGGCAGTTGAAGCTGCTGGATGTGGTGTCTCTTGTACTGGTTCGTAGGGCATGCGTACTCATCACATCGATTGACAACTGCACCAACCCCACAAGCTACTGGAGCGTCAACATGAGGCACAAAAGCTGTGGACGCTGCTCCCAGCAGGACATGCGAGTCCACCGGCGTCCAGTAGTTCTGACGTTGCGATAAGTACGTGAGTGGCAACGTCAGGTAAAAGAATACTTGGGCTGCGACTTGAGCTGCTGGCTTGGGCTGCGACTTGGGCTGCTGGCTTGGGCAACAGATGCAGTTGGAACGCAGCATAGAGCACGAGAGGTACGAGTGCCCAGATCTGCCAGATAGTGATGGTTTTCAAATCAAGTCGTTTATTGCCAGCCAACGACGACGACGACGACTTGAGGGGATTTTGTAGGTGTAGTCAAAACGATGTGCGACTCAAAGTGGACAAGATCCCCACCCAGGGGTGGCTACACTCGGCACACTCTCCGTCTGTTTCTGACGTAGCTCCTGGTACCGTCGACACTCAATGCGGTACAGCAGGAGCTCACGGCTCGGTCAAAGTACGACTGCACGCCTTCCATGACGCCCGTCACGTCCTTGAACTCCCTTTCGTTGCCCCGCCTCTCCAGCATGCACCTTGCTCTGCTTCACGTCCAAGTGCGTCTTGATTATCGAAGATCCCCATCCATTCACCACCATACAACAACAAAGACAAGCACAACCTCGTCAATCCCCACCACCACGAACCCTCTTTCTCTCTCTTGCTCCCTCCTCTCGCTTCCTCTCCCCACCTGTTGCATGTTGGGTTTCCTCGGCAACGGCACAAGTTGATGCAGAGCTTACGTGGCGGCTTACTTTCTACTATATCCTCTAGCTCGCTTGTGCCTCACTTGCGCTGCCCCTTTCAGATGTCCTACATTGGCAGTGTAGAGCTTTGCAATAGATTGACATGGTACGGCAAAGAGTTCCATGCCTTTGGCATGGTAAAACGCCTGCGAGCGCGCCAACTCAGCGACAATTTTCTACAGCAAACAAAGCCCATGAGTCCACATTCTCGTCAATCTACCCCGCCAAACTCCACTACCGTCGAACTGCGCCTTCATTTTCTCGATCATGTACCGTTCGAAGTTCGGTCCATGTGGATATCCAGCAACGCATTGACGTTCTCAACGCGAGGTTTCTGATTGACAGCATCCGGAGCTTTTTTTCTTTCTCCTTGGCAGCACTCCATCTTTGCAGTACACAGAAACAATCAGGCAAATAAGCAGACGAACAGATCGGCCAATAGAATTCACTCACGGATCTTCTTTATAGAGATGACTTCCAACTCGCCGACACGTACCTTCATCCTGCTTGTCACCTTCATTCAACGACCAAACCTTGTGGTAGAACGCACGGACATCTGGATGCAAGTAAAGCAACTTTGCGCACGTGGCGTTTTCCCATTCAGATACTCCTGTGTCGCTCAAGGATCCATTTCACGAGCAGCCACGAGCCAACACAAGGTCACCGCCACACTGCGTCCCGTGCCTCCTTTGCAGTGAACGTACGTCCTGACTCCCGTTGTTTCTGCATCTGGATAAACGCAACGGCTGCTGTTAATGCCTCAAGTGACGGCCAAAAGTGGTCAACTGTCGGCAGTTGAAGCTGCTGGATGTGGTGTCTCTTGTACTGGTTCGTAGGGCATGCGTACTCATCACATCGATTGACAACTGCACCAACCCCACAAGCTACTGGAGCGTCAACATGAGGCACAAAAGCTGTGGACGCTGCTCCCAGCAGGACATGCGAGTCCACCGGCGTCCAGTAGTTCTGACGTTGCGATAAGTACGTGAGTGGCAACGTCAGGTAAAAGAATACTTGGGCTGCGACTTGAGCTGCTGGCTTGGGCTGCGACTTGGGCTGCTGGCTTGGGCAACAGATGCAGTTGGAACGCAGCATAGAGCACGAGAGGTACGAGTGCCCAGATCTGCCAGATAGTGATGGTTTTCAAATCAAGTCGTTTATTGCCAGCCAACGACGACGACGACGACTTGAGGGGATTTTGTAGGTGTAGTCAAAACGATGTGCGACTCAAAGTGGACAAGATCCCCACCCAGGGGTGGCTACACTCGGCACACTCTCCGTCTGTTTCTGACGTAGCTCCTGGTACCGTCGACACTCAATGCGGTACAGCAGGAGCTCACGGCTCGGTCAAAGTACGACTGCACGCCTTCCATGACGCCCGTCACGTCCTTGAACTCCCTTTCGTTGCCCCGCCTCTCCAGCATGCACCTTGCTCTGCTTCACGTCCAAGTGCGTCTTGATTATCGAAGATCCCCATCCATTCACCACCATACAACAACAAAGACAAGCACAACCTCGTCAATCCCCACCACCACGAACCCTCTTTCTCTCTCTTGCTCCCTCCTCTCGCTTCCTCTCCCCACCTGTTGCATGTTGGGTTTCCTCGGCAACGGCACAAGTTGATGCAGAGCTTACGTGGCGGCTTACTTTCTACTATATCCTCTAGCTCGCTTGTGCCTCACTTGCGCTGCCCCTTTCAGATGTCCTACATTGGCAGTGTAGAGCTTTGCAATAGATTGACATGGTACGGCAAAGAGTTCCATGCCTTTGGCATGGTAAAACGCCTGCGAGCGCGCCAACTCAGCGACAATTTTCTACAGCAAACAAAGCCCATGAGTCCACATTCTCGTCAATCTACCCCGCCAAACTCCACTACCGTCGAACTGCGCCTTCATTTTCTCGATCATGTACCGTTCGAAGTTCGGTCCATGTGGATATCCAGCAACGCATTGACGTTCTCAACGCGAGGTTTCTGATTGACAGCATCCGGAGCTTTTTTTCTTTCTCCTTGGCAGCACTCCATCTTTGCAGTACACAGAAACAATCAGGCAAATAAGCAGACGAACAGATCGGCCAATAGAATTCACTCACGGATCTTCTTTATAGAGATGACTTCCAACTCGCCGACACGTACCTTCATCCTGCTTGTCACCTTCATTCAACGACCAAACCTTGTGGTAGAACGCACGGACATCTGGATGCAAGTAAAGCAACTTTGCGCACGTGGCGTTTCCCATTCAGATACTCCTGTGTCGCTCAAGGATCCATTTCACGAGCAGCCACGAGCCAACACAAGGTCACCGCCACACTGCGTCCCGTGCCTCCTTTGCAGTGAACGTACGTCCTGACTCCCGTTGTTTCTGCATCTGGATAAACGCAACGGCTGCTGTTAATGCCTCAAGTGACGGCCAAAAGTGGTCAACTGTCGGCAGTTGAAGCTGCTGGATGTGGTGTCTCTTGTACTGGTTCGTAGGGCATGCGTACTCATCACATCGATTGACAACTGCACCAACCCCACAAGCTACTGGAGCGTCAACATGAGGCACAAAAGCTGTGGACGCTGCTCCCAGCAGGACATGCGAGTCCACCGGCGTCCAGTAGTTCTGACGTTGCGATAAGTACGTGAGTGGCAACGTCAGGTAAAAGAATACTTGGGCTGCGACTTGAGCTGCTGGCTTGGGCTGCGACTTGGGCTGCTGGCTTGGGCAACAGATGCAGTTGGAACGCAGCATAGAGCACGAGAGGTACGAGTGCCCAGATCTGCCAGATAGTGATGGTTTTCAAATCAAGTCGTTTATTGCCAGCCAACGACGACGACGACGACTTGAGGGGATTTTGTAGGTGTAGTCAAAACGATGTGCGACTCAAAGTGGACAAGATCCCCACCCAGGGGTGGCTACACTCGGCACACTCTCCGTCTGTTTCTGACGTAGCTCCTGGTACCGTCGACACTCAATGCGGTACAGCAGGAGCTCACGGCTCGGTCAAAGTACGACTGCACGCCTTCCATGACGCCCGTCACGTCCTTGAACTCCCTTTCGTTGCCCCGCCTATCCAGCATGCACCTTGCTCTGCTTCACGTCCAAGTGCGTCTTGATTATCGAAGATCCCCATCCATTCACCACCATACAACAACAAAGACAAGCACAACCTCGTCAATCCCCACCACCACGAACCCTCTTTCTCTCTCTTGCTCCCTCCTCTCGCTCTCTCTCCCCACCTGTTGCATGTTGGGTTTCCTCGGCAACGGCACAAGTTGATGCAGAGCTTACGTGGCGGCTTACTTTCTACTATATCCTCTAGCTCGCTTGTGCCTCACTTGCGCTGCCCCTTTCAGATGTCCTACATTGGCAGTGTAAAGCTTTGCAATAGATTGAGATGGTACGGCAAAGAGTTCCAGGCCTTTTGCATGGTAAAACGCCTGCGAGCGCGCCAACTCAGCGACAATTTTCTACAGCAAACAAAGCCCATGAGTCCACATTCTCGTCAATCTACCCCGCCAAACTTCACTACCGTCGAACTGCGCCTTCATTTTCCCGATCATGTACCGTTCGAAGTTCGGTCCATGTGGATATCCAGCAACGCATTGACGTTCTCAACGCGAGGTTTCTGATTGACAGCATCCGGATCTTTTTCTTTCTCCTTGGCAGCACTCCATCTTTGCAGTACACAGAAACAATCAGGCAAATAAGCAGGCGAACAGATCGGTCAATAGAATTCACTCACGGATCTTCTTTATAGAGATGACTTCCAACTCGCCGACACGTACCTTCATCCTGCTTGTCACCTTCATTCAACGACCAAACCTTGTGGTAGAACGCACGGACATCTGGATGCAAGTAAAGCAACTTTGCGCACGTGGCGTTTTCCCATTCAGATACTCCTGTGTCGCTCAAGGATCCATTTCCACGAGCAGCCACGAGCCAACACAAGGTCACCGCCACACTGCGTCCCGTGCCTCCTTTGCAGTGAACGTACGTCCTGACTCCCGTTGTTTCTGCATCTGGATAAACGCAACGGCTGCTGTTAATGCCTCAAGTGACGGCCAAAAGTGGTCAACTGTCGGCAGTTGAAGCTGCTGGATGTGGTGTCTCTTGTACTGGTTCGTAGGGCATGCGTACTCATCACATCGATTGACAACTGCACCAACCCCACAAGCTACTGGAGCGTCAACATGAGGCACAAAAGCTGTGGACGCTGCTCCCAGCAGGACATGCGAGTCCACCGGCGTCCAGTAGTTCTGACGTTGCGATAAGTACGTGAGTGGCAACGTCAGGTAAAAAGAATACTTGGGCTGCGACTTGAGCTGCTGGCTTGGGCTGCGACTTGGGCTGCTGGCTTGGGCAACAGATGCAGTTGGAACGCAGCATAGAGCACGAGAGGTACGAGTGCCCAGATCTGCCAGATAGTGATGGTTTTCAAATCAAGTCGTTTATTGCCAGCCAACGACGACGACGACGACTTGAGGGGATTTTGTAGGTGTAGTCAAAACGATGTGCGACTCAAAGTGGACAAGATCCCCACCCAGGGGTGGCTACACTCGGCACACTCTCCGTCTGTTTCTGACGTAGCTCCTGGTACCGTCGACACTCAATGCGGTACAGCAGGAGCTCACGGCTCGGTCAAAGTACGACTGCACGCCTTCCATGACGCCCGTCACGTCCTTGAACTCCCTTTCGTTGCCCCGCCTCTCCAGCATGCACCTTGCTCTGCTTCACGTCCAAGTGCGTCTTGATTATCGAAGATCCCCATCCATTCACTACCATACAACAACAAAGACAAGCACAACCTCGTCAATCCCCACCACCACGAACCCTCTTTCTCTCTCTTGCTCCCTCCCTCTCGCTCTCTCTCCCCCACCTGTTGCATGTTGGGTTTCCTCGGCAACGGCACAAGTTGATGCAGAGCTTACGTGGCGGCTTACTTTCTACTATATCCTCTAGCTCGCTTGTGCCTCACTTGCGCTGCCCCTTTCAGATGTCCTACATTGGCAGTGTAAAGCTTTGCAATAGATTGAGATGGTACGGCAAAGAGTTCCAGGCCTTTTGCATGGTAAAACGCCTGCGAGCGCGCCAACTCAGCGACAATTTTCTACAGCAAACAAAGCCCATGAGTCCACATTCTCGTCAATCTACCCCGCCAAACTTCACTACCGTCGAACTGCGCCTCTCATTTTCCCGATCATGTACCGTTCGAAGTTCGGTCCATGTGGATATCCAGCAACGCATTGACGTTCTCAACGCGAGGTTTCTGATTGACAGCATCCGGATCTTTTTTTCTCTTCTCCTTGGCAGCACTCCATCTTTGCAGTACACAGAAACAATCAGGCAAATAAGCAGACGAACAGATCGGTCAATAGAATTCACTCACGGATCTTCTTTATAGAGATGACTTCCAACTCGCCGACACGTACCTTCATCCTGCTTGTCACCTTCATTCAACGACCAAACCTTGTGGTAGAACGCACTGGACATCTGGATGCAAGTAAAGCAACTTTGCGCACGTGGCGTTTTCCCATTCAGATACTCCTGTGTCGCTCAAGGATCCATTTCACGAGCAGCCACGAGCCAACACAAGGTCACCGCCACACTGCGTCCCGTGCCTCCTTTGCAGTGAACGTGCGTCCTGACTCCCGTTGTTTCTGCATCTGGATAAACGCAACGGCTGCTGTTAATGCCTCAAGTGACGGCCAAAAGTGGTCAACTGTCGGCAGTTGAAGCTGCTGGATGTGGTGTCTCTTGTACTGGTTCGTAGGGCATGCGTACTCATCACATCGATTGACAACTGCACCAACCCCACAAGCTACTGGAGCGTCAACATGAGGCACAAAAGCTGTGGACGCTGCTCCCAGCAGGACATGCGAGTCCACCGGCGTCCAGTAGTTCTGACGTTGCGATAAGTACGTGAGTGGCAACGTCAGGTAAAAGAATACTTGGGCTGCGACTTGAGCTGCTGGCTTGGGCTGCGACTTGGGCTGCTGGCTTGGGCAACAGATGCAGTTGGAACGCAGCATAGAGCACGAGAGGTACGAGTGCCCAGATCTGCCAGATAGTGATGGTTTTCAAATCAAGTCGTTTATTGCCAGCCAACGACGACGACGACGACTTGAGGGGATTTTGTAGGTGTAGTCAAAACGATGTGCGACTCAAAGTGGACAAGATCCCCACCCAGGGGTGGCTACACTCGGCACACTCTCCGTCTGTTTCTGACGTAGCTCCTGGTACCGTCGACACTCAATGCGGTACAGCAGGAGCTCACGGCTCGGTCAAAGTACGACTGCACGCCTTCCATGACGCCCGTCACGTCCTTGAACTCCCCTTTCGTTGCCCCGCCTCTCCAGCATGCACCTTGCTCTGCTTCACGTCCAAGTACGTCTTGATTATCGAAGATCCCCATCCATTCACCACCATACAACAACAAAGACAAGCACAACCTCGTCAATCCCCACCACCACGAACCCTCTTTCTCTCCCCTCTTGCTCCCTCCTCTCTCGCTCTCTCTCCCCACCTGTTGCATGTTGGGTTTCCTCGGCAACGGCACAAGTTGATGCAGAGCTTACGTGGCGGCTTACTTTCTACTATATCCTCTCAGCTCGCTTGTGCCTCACTTGCGCTGCCCCTTTCAGATGTCCTACATTGGCAGTGTAAAGCTTTGCAATAGATTGAGATGGTACGGCAAAGAGTTCCAGGCCTTTTGCATGGTAAAACGCCTGCGAGCGCGCCAACTCAGCGACAATTTTCTACAGCAAACAAAGCCCATGAGTCCACATTCTCGTCAATCTACCCCGCCAAACTCCACTACCTGCGTCGAACTGCGCCTTCATTTTCCCGATCATGTACCGTTCGATTTAACTCTTCTGTACACAAACTTTGCGTTCTCCGCGAGTGTCTCAGCATCGCTTTTTCTCACTGTTATCAAATCTAGCCAAAAAATACTACCAAATACTACAATTCGATTAGCAAATGACTCGCATCTTTAGGTCTTGCGCGTTGCTTTTAATACGTTAACAAAGTGTATCTGAATGGCATCAAAAGCTCTTACTAGTGTATCCGATTTTGGCTCGGAACGCAATTGCACGAGCATCTTGTAATTTCAAGCAACAGATTTTCATTTTATTTTGTTAAAAATTTCCATACTAAAGTCTTCCAATTTGGCTCGAAAAACAATAGCAACGGCACTTGGCGAATTCGAAACGAACGCAACCAAGACAACAAGACATTGCAAAAGCATTGCATAACACTCACAGCACATTGCACTTTCCTGTTACACTTCCATACTAAAGTCCACAACCCTTTTTTGGCTCGCAAACAACAATAGGAAAATACTTTCACTTTGCCCTGTTCAAATTTCCATACTAAAGTCTTCCAATTTGGCTCGAAAAACAATAGCAACGGCACTTGGCGAATTCGAAACGAACGCAACCAAGACAACAAGACATTACAAAAGCATTGCATAACACTCACAGCACATTGCACTTTCCTGTTACACTTCCATACTAAAGTCCACAACCCTTTTTTGGCTCGCAAACAACAATAGGAAAATACTTTCACTTTGCCCTGTTTAAATTTCCATACTAAAGTCTTCCAATTAGTATTAGAAAACAATAGCAATGACACTTTGTGCATTTGCAAGCAAACACAACTATCTATAGCTTGCACTAAGCGGTCTTCTAAACCACTTAGCTTAAGCCTTATTATTATTAAACCGATTGATCGGTTCGCGAACTTTCGCTCTTGTTTGCAGCAGCGAAAGTAATTAACTTTGTCGCACAGCCTTTTTTGGTTGACTGCTTATATGCGTTCTTGTCTTGTTTTTATTTGTATTACAATAGCACTGTGTGCGTATCGTAACCATTATCATACTGTAATGTTTCTTGTATTTTTTGTTTGTTTTTTTTGTTTCCACTATCATTGGATAGTGTTTTATTTTATTAGTATGATAATGTGGGGGGGGGAGAAATGTTCATTTCTGAACAAATCAATAGAACAAGGGCTAAATCTCAGCAGATCGTAGTACAAGACTACTCTCATGCTTACAACACCCCGTTCTGTAGTTAAGTCGTCTACAAAGGATTTATCTTTCCCAATATTTGAAATTACAAATCAGCCTACTCTCCACTACCTTTATTTGATAGGCAGCGAAGTGCGTTGCAATTGTATGATGTTGGGTGCCCATAAGACACCTATCGCTATTCGCGGTACATCAGGAAAGGTGATTATCGTCTATTCCAGCATGGATTCTGACTTAGAGGCGTTCAGCCATAATCCTACAGATGGTAGCTTGGCGGCACTAGCTTTTCAGCTAACCGCAGTTACCAATTATCTGAACCAACGGTTCCTCTCGTACTGGGTTGGATTACTGTTTAGACAACGAACTCATCAGTAGGGTAAAACTAACCTGTCTCACGACGGTCTAAACCCAGCTCACGTTCCCTATTAGTGGGTGAACAATCCAACAATTGGCGAGTTCTACTTCGCAATGATAGGAAGAGCCGACATCGAAGAATCAAAAAGCAACGTCGCTATGGACGCTTGGCTGCCACAAGCCAGTTATCCCTGTGGTAACTTTTCTGACACCTCTAGCTTAAAATTCTAAAGAACTAAAGGATCGATAGGCCACGCTTTCACGGTTTGTATTCATACTGAAAATCAAAATCAAGTGAGCTTTTACCCTTTTGTTCTACATGAGATTTCTGTTCTCATTGAGCTCACCTTAGGACACCTGTGTTATCATTTAACAGATGTGCCGCCCCAGCCAAACTCCCCCCACTTCCCAATTTACCTCGTCGAGCGCACATCGTTCTCGACCCCTTTGCACCTTCTACGCACACAGAACTTCAAGTCGCTACCAGCCAGTCTTTCCGACTGTCTGCTTCGTCACGCTTCTCTTCGTACGGCTCTTTTCTTCGCGGAAGAGGTGTCGGTCAAGTTTACGCTAGTTCTTCGTTCGTTCAAGATCATGTCTTCGCCGCCGCGTTCTTCGCCGCCGCGCCCTACGCCGCCGCCGCGCTCTCCGGGTCGCCAGGCAGTTTCGGGGCCACGTCGTCCAACGCCGCCCCGTCGCTTCGTCCCTGACGACAGTTTGTTTACGGCCAGCTACTCGCTGATTGGTGACAACTCTTCGACGGATGACGATCGCTACTTCAAGGCGAGCACGCAACTGCCTACGCCTGTTGAAGCTGTGCAGTGCACGCGCATGTGGATTCCCGCGGCGCGCCTGTCGGCTGAGCATAGCACGGACGAGATCCTCCAATCATTGGCAGGAGACTCTCAGCCCGCCATTTGGCAGGCGCATCGGGCTTCTTTGCGCGACTTTGTCCGGATTCCGCACCAAGGAATCTCCTTTCTCTGCACGTCCGACGCGGCTCTACACTCGTTGGGTGGTCTGGCGTTGCAGGTTTGCGGCTCGACGGTGCACATCCGCAAGTATTCGAAGTACGACAAACTGTACTTCGTGGATCTGACTCGACTTCCTGGTGACGTGCCGGACCGGGCCATCTACAATTGGTTCGTTAACCGCGGTTCTCGTCCGGTTCTTATCACCCCAACCTATGTTGCGGGTGAGCTAAAGTCGCGCGACCGTACGGTGTACTTCCACGCGGTTCAGTGCCCTTCCGGTCTTTTTCTCGAGAATGGTGAACCCCTTCGCGAGATTTACTTCGATCCTGAAGACAAGCCGTGTTTCGTTCAACATCGGCTTCGCAAGCTCAACCGTGTCAAGCCTCCTTCGCTTCGCCGGGTGGCTACTTCGCGGGAAATTCCTTTGGACGATTTCGATGATGCGGCTATGGAGATAGATGATGTTGCGTCTCGTTCGTCGAATACCGGTGGCCCACCTCCGGGGGATTCTATTTCGGCTGCCGTTCGGGCTTCTAAAGAGCGGCCTCACACTTCGCCCGCGACAACTCGGTCGCCGACGACACTACTTATACTCGACTCTGTCGAGGCGGACGCGCCAACTTGGAAATTGATCCAAGCTTCTCGCCGAGGGATTATGCAGGATGCCGGTCCTGTGTGTGAACCTACTGGCTTGATGCCGTGCTCGCTTGCCGAGATTTCTGATGACTCGTCGGCGCTCAAGTATTCGACGATGGTCGACGTGTACAACACGTACGACGTTCTGACGGATTCTGGATTTGATGACTCTCAGCCTCCGGACGTTGACATTACGGTCTACGATGAGCACCTCAACAGTGTGGCTGGATTTACTGAGGATTCTGAGTTGGTCAATCGCTGTGCTGCTCACGCGCTGATGGGCGCTCGTAAGCTAAAGCCGAAACGACAACAGCTTTCGGCTCTGGAACTGGACGCGCTGATAGCTGAATTTGTGACGAAGGACGTCATGAATTACTCTTCGCATGATGATCTTCTTGCTGCAATTCAAGTGCAGCCTGCGTATCTACGCCACTTGTACAAGCTTCCGGCTGAGTGGCTTGAACGGACTTACCGTACACACGCGGTTTTTCGGGCGTCCCGTGGCGTTCGTCTTCCTGATGGACAGAACGACATACTTTCCTACTTGCAATCCAAGTTTGATGCTCCGGGGGCGTCTATGACTCAGCTTTTCAACTCCGTGTTTCCCACGGATGAGGCTCGCAGAGCTGCTTTGGCTTGGTCCAAGTGTGATTTGTTTTTGATGATTTTCGCTCCTGGAATTTACTTCGATCCGGTCAAGCTCGCGATGCTAATGCCCGGAAACTATTCGTGCACGCGTCTGCGATTGACGCCGTTTTTATTGTGGAGTGATTTGAACCTGCAATGTGTCACGCAAACGGATGTCTTGGCGGTCTTTCTGACAGACCGGCGCACCCCAGACGATGTTCGTCTCTCTATTCAAGCTCTGAAGGACACTCCTCTTCCTGCGGTTGCGACCGCCTCAAGTCAAGTTGTTCCCGCTCAACTCTAAAGATGCCTGGGTCTTTAATGGCATTTCGCTAAACATCAACGGATTAAATCATCCTCCAATGGCGATGTACGAGCGCCTACTGTCCACATACCAACTTGTGGCTTTTCAAGAAACGAAGTTCGTCAAACAAGACTCTATTCAGACGAATGAGCACTTCATTTTTTCGACGGATTCTGGGGCCCAATGCTTTTGGTCCGATACGACTTCGCCTGTTTTTAATGAGCGTCACGGCGTCGGGCTCGTGCTTTCTTCTGCGTCTCCTTTTCAAGACGTTCGAGATTTGACTTCTAGCATCTGCACCTCGCAGCTCAAGAACCGCTATTTGCTTCTTCAAGCCAAACTGGGCGATGACCCAGTCTTTATTCACGTGGTTTACGCTCCCGATGAACCTGCCGAGCGCGGTGAATTTTTCCGATTGCTGCCGACCGTGTTTGACGGCTTCGATATGGATTGCTCGGTCAAACACATTGTTGTTGGGGATTTCAATGTCACCTTGGATAATTACCTGGACCAAAAATTACCTGGTCTCCATCACCCTGGTACTGGACGTGAAGACCTTCATGCTTGGCTGGACGCTCTCGGTTTAATGGACTCTTGGCGCCATATGAATCCCGACGGCCGAGACTACACTAGCCCCAAACGCAAGAACCGCTTGGATTATTGCTTTCTTACCGTTGATCTGGTACAGGAACACTTGGATAAAGTATGCCACGTACGCGACCGAAAGTGGCATACTGAAGATCATGTTCCTGTAGAATTTCGCCTTCAAGCGAAAATTGTACCGCGTGGCAGACCACCCCCTTGGCGCTGCCCTACTTGGCTTTTGGATGATGCTTCAAGCGAAAATTG